TGGCTGCCGCGTGAGAAAGGTCCATTTCCCTTCCTGTTTGCAAGTGTGTTATACGAATGAAATGAGGCGACTTTTTTCTTATTTGTTTTTCCCCCCGGCAATCGCATGCGCTAGCTGCTCACCTGATGCTGTCTGCCAGAACAATACGTGTGTCTGTAAAACAGGTTATACCGGAGAAGGCAACACGTGTAAAAGTAAGAGAATAATAACGTTATTATACACTCTAGTCCTTCGTCACGCAACAGCCATGACTGCCGCGTGAGAAAGGTCCATTTCCCTTCCTGTTTGCAAGTGTGTTTGGTCTAAATAAAAGGCATGGAAAGCTCCAGTCAATTACTGAGCTCTTCATCAGGTGGTCTCGCTCTCGATTCAAGGATTTTTAAAATTTATTTTGTTTTATTTCTTATTTGCAGAAGTAAATTCAGGCAGTTCACTCGCTTCACCACATCAGCTCCTGATTTCAACCTTTGTACTCCTGTCTTTGGTTGTTCTTCTGAGTAACGCATTCCTGTACAAAACCGTGTAATGTCCTTCGCCATACTGTTGCCAAACCCTGACTCTATACTGATAATAAGGAATCACTCATAATTTATGGTTGGGGAGGGAGGGGGGGGGAGGTATGTAGATTTAAGGGGGAATACGTAGCCTCCTCCGAAGTTAATTTTTGCCTTAGCCGTGGATGGGGTTCCTGTGGAGATTTCGAAGTCAAAGGAAGTCTGGGCCCGGTTGCATAAAGCTCTCTTAAGATAAGAGCATCCGTAAGTATTGTTCCAAGCCTACTAAGACAATACTTACGAGTGTTTTTAAGCTTTTTTTATATTAAGAGAGCTTTATGCAACTGGGCCCTGGACAGGAGACGTGTTTCAACACAGGGAACCCAAAAGGAAAACAGTCAGTCTAATAGCGAAGGCTGTGAAGTGAGGAGGCTAACTTCGGGGGGTTCGACCTTTCAATTAACGTTTTTGCACAAGCTATAGAGGGGCATAATGATTTTAGGTTTGTAAAGAGAAGGAACTAAAATTCACATTCCCCCTAACCCCAACATATAAATTATTAAGTGATTCTACAATCTTTTTAAAATATATCCTGCTTTGGTTCATAAGCCAATAGAGAAGTTTCACAGGCGCCAGGGCAAAAACAAAATTATGTTGGAAAATATTGTATTGTTCCGAGGTTGAGAAAGGAACTGGGTCGAGTTGGCATTGCTGTTTATTGTGTGACTGTAGTACGGGACATATTCTCAAGTTGATATATATTCTGTTCCCTAAAACGGGCCAAAAATGCACTGTAATGCAAACTCGACCAAGGTTTTTCCTCGACCTCGGAACTGTTTCAAAATAGAGTTTAAGATTCTCGTGACGGCAAACGTGAAACATCAGTTGACCATTAAAAAAATCTTTAAAATTAGTGAAAAGGAATCGGGAAAAGTCTCCAAGTAGTAGATAAACAAAAGAATACTTGTCTCTGTCGAGAAGGTTTGCAAAAGGTAAAGTGAAATGCAGGAAAACGATGAAAACGTGGTCATGTTTGCCGTTTGCGGGAAGGAAAATCTGGAATCTTTTAATCCGAAGCTCCTTGTTTGTGATTGTTATCTTGCACACTTAAGGCATGATCATGGTATGCATAGCTGAAAACATACATCGGTGTACGTACTCGATGATCATGCATATTCAGTTGTCGTCTCATTAAATTATTATTGGTTGTAAAATTTAATTTTAATTTTTCAAAAGACTTGATTTTTATCCGGCTATTGATAAGACAACTAATTTTTATTAAAGGAATAATCTTAACCTACTTGAAGTCTGCCTTGAAGCTATCTTTGTTGTGTGTATTGGTGGCCGGGGGTTAGACATCTGGATTCACCATTTTCCATAGATTGGTTTACTGGTCAAACACAAAGCGCTCCAGCGAGGCGCCAAGGTACTTTCAAAGGATTATTCAAATTTGAACCTTGCAACCTCGACTGAATGCTTTGTGTTTGACCAGTGAATGGATGTATGGAAAATAGTGAATACCTTGAAGTGTTTCATTAAAGGTCGGGTACCGCAAAATGCTCCTGTAACTGAGCAAATTAATAGTTTGGTATTTAGTCGCAAAATGTCCACTTGGCCCCGGACTCTTTTGCAGTTCACGATCTTCTCCTATTATTTCAAAACTTATTAATAGACTCTAATATCAACGGCGGGCCCCGTCCACTAACAGATCATGTGACCCCACCATTTGCTATTCTAAGTTGTGGAAAAGACTTGGTCGAGTATTATGGGAATGTTTAAGGATGTTTAAGGGGGCATATTTCCAAGATGGCGTCCATTTCGTCCCTGAAAACTCCCACAATGCACTGCAATGCCAACTCGACCAACCTTTTTACTCCACTTTTGAATGGCCGCAAAGGCACACAACAGCTCAGGTTTAGCGTTCACGCTACAATCATTCATTTTATTTTTCATTTCAGATGTTATCCATGAACTTCTGTGTAATACGGCTTGATCCGTGCTATATTTTCACGACGTACCATCACTTCCAAATGTTCAGATAATGATAACTTCAGAAAATATCTCAAGAATAGTCTTTATTTATTAATCTCATTTTCTAAATTTTTCTTCATAATAAACATCAATAAATTCTTTAAAGCGTACAAGAATCATTTAACACGAACACTTTGGTCAATGAATTGATACACCTATTTCGAAAGACGATGACGCTCCGAGGTGTGTCTGAGTCGACTATCATGTTTTATGGCCAAGATACGAAAAATCAGATTTCTAACAAAGATCATGCCTCATATTCCAATCTAAAAGAAAACTACGTTGTTCGGCCGTGAAATATTCAAGTTTGAATCGTGTTACTTGCTCGGATTTCAGATTTCAGATCTCCAACCGTCAACCGATTTATTGAAGTAGATGTATAGGTCAATCTTTACTGAATTACTTTGAAGGAAATCGTTCGATATATTTTTACGAAATTCAAAGGCAGTTTGGTGACTCGAGATGGTGGAGCTTTTTCTTCTCGTCCCCTCATTCATTCCCACAATCCTTTGTATCACAGGTCTTTACTGAATCTTCCTTTACATTTCGGAAAGGTTAATATAGGTTTTGCACCATGACGTGCTGACGTCCACAATACAACTTGGGCTGCCTGTGGTTAGATGGCAGAACAATAAAATCCCGTTGCTCTTGGGAATTAAATTCTTTCTCATGTAAAATGATTATATTGTTCCTGTCATCTAACATGGCTGCCGTCACGTGATAGTTCAAAACCTCTATTGTCGCCGAGTTACACGTTAGATAAATCATGAACCTTCTTGGGGTGCAATAATTAATTGCTTGCACCAAATGTTCAACTCTCGTCCATGCCTTATCTAGTCGACAATATTCTTCAACCAAAGATCTTCTCCTTTTGCGATACGACATAAACGTTCTATTAACTTGCGAGAGTGACTTCCGTTAAGTCACTAAATATTTCAATAACTAGATACATCGTCGGTCACGCCTTGGCTAGTCCTGTCATGATTTTCTGCCACAAGTCTTTCTTCTTAGGGTACATCCGCCGAATACTTTGAAGTAGCTCATTAAATTGATTCATTCCACCAGGCACCATACAAAACGCACCCCTGGCGTGCCTTAACAGTTCGACAAAATCCTCATGATCAGACTGTGCCATGACCATGAGGTGATGATGGATGCACTGGCCATACATGGAAAGACTTTTCTGAACCAATGGATTGATATTTGGAGATCGCAGATTAATGGCCAACTGTGCTGGGTTGGACCGAGCGAGGTGCCGCGCAGCCTCTAGAGCAAGGTCATGCAGTACAAAAGGACTAACTACTGCATTGAGAGCAGAGACACAGAACCGGTGAAGATAAGATGTACCGAGTCTCGCTGATAGTGAACACAGCCATCTAATATCATCACTACAAGGTGGGCTACGTGAGTATTTCACAGTCGGACGGTCATCGGGGGATCTTCGCGCCAACGATTCTAGAGCCAGCATACCGACTCTGTACGCGTTGTTTAAGTAATATGAAACTGGAACTCCTTGCTGTTGATTAAATGACCTACTGGAAAACTGACACACTGCAGGGCTAGCTGTTTGGTACGGAGGGGGGAGACCACCACTACCGCTTGATATATCATACTGGTTTGAATGATGCTGCCTTGAGATAAAAGGGTATCCGTAATTGACTTGATTGCTAGGTCTGTAGGAGGCTCCCCCCGGATAACACCCTTGGTTCATTATTTGATGTACTTGGTGATGCATCTGTAACTGGACATACTGTTCCGGTGTTTGATAAGGAGGAGGGGGGAGGGAGTTAAAGCTTGGGTGCCCTCCTAGTGGAGCTTGGAAAGGATTGATGGTTGGTGGTTGTGTCGAGGGAGCAGGCTGCTGCTGAGTGCGTGCAGACTGGGGTCCCCTATTTCGGGAGCCTTCTTTATGGGACCTCGGGGTGGCAGCCTGGCTCTGTTCATGCAAGTAGTGCCAGTGTCTAGCTACATCGAACAAGACTTCAGGATACACCCCACCACCTCTAGCAGCACTTTCAACAGCTTGACAAGCTCTATCTAAAAGCTGTGTGTCTTCATCTCTACATTGAAGGAGACCTCGTTGAATCTCCCCTGGGTTCAAGGTATGTGCCATGTGCAGACACGACAGCCCTAGTTCAGCAGCTGCCCGTACCATCGCAGGATCATTTGATCGTGATGCCCTGTCTGCAATAGAAGCCACTTCAGATGGAGTTAAATTACTTTCCCATCTCTCGATAAGAAGTTGTATAGCAGTGCTTCCTATTTCCATGGCCTGTCCAGATATCCACGACACGTGCGATGAATACGTCCGAGATAGCCAATTAACCGACGTACGATTGTGAAGTCCAAGCGCAAATAAACCCATTTCAAAAGCGCATAATTGTAATCCACGATGTGGCCCAGCATGGTTGGTACTGGTTGAAGGTTGACTAAACACCGAGGTACTACTATTACCACCAGCTTTACTAAGGACTCTTTTGGCCAGTTCAAACATGAAGTGCGCTTCTGCTTCTGTGGCTTGATTCACAGCAGATTTTTTACCTTTCTTTTTTCTGTTTTTCTTTCTGCCCTGTCGTCTGTTACGTCCTTGGTTTCCATCCGTGTCGTCGACACTAACTCTTGCTGCTGATTCTGCTGCAGGCAAGGCTACTGCAGCTGCTGCCTCCATGTTAGAGGAAGCAGCTCCTTCAGCTGGACTTCCTGTGGCTGAGGACACAGAACACGATGCCTCCACCTCAACACCGGAGGCTTCAGTCTTATTAGATGATGCTTGAGTCAATGAAGATGATGTTACGGATGTTTCAACCTTGGGATATGCTTGGGACGTGCTGTCTTGAGAAGCGGAGGCTCCTACCTCGCAAGGTGGACTTCCATTCTGATCGATGGCTACTTCTTCAGTATTTGAGGTCAGATCTTGAGAAACGACTGCTTCCTTTTCAAGTGCAGTAGAATCCTTGACAGTAGCAGTTGGTAACATCCCTGCATTTCCTATTATACCATCATTTTGGTTCGTTTTGCTTGAACACGTTGAAAGTGAGCGCACATCAACCACCGCACCGGAAGTGTCAGTGCTCTTTTTCTGGACCCCAAATGAACTTGAAGACGAGGTGTTGCTAGATGATAGATCACTAGGAGAGGACCTGGACGGCGAACCACTGAAACCATCATCATCTTGCTCTTTTGACCTACAATGTGCGTGTCTTGACTCATTGTCCCTTGATGGATGGCTTTCACTGGGATTTCGACTTACTGGAATTGTAATTTTACTAACTAACTTAGCAGTGATGTTATTATCAGGGGGGAGAGAGACTCCCCCTGACTCACTTGTTGGTTCATCAATATCTTCTTCAATGTCTGATCCATCGAGATCTGATGTAGGCCTACCAGTTGTTCTCTGTGGATTGACAGTCCTTGAGGTATCCAATGCACCTTCTTGGCTGAATGTCTTGTGTTTTCTGTCCACATCACATTCTTTTGAGTTGTTCCTAAAACCTGATGCATGATGAGCAGGTGAATTACTTCCACAAGCAGCACTCGCATGATTCCTTCGAGAGCTACCCGCATTAGAAGAACCTCGAGGGCCGGGGTGACAAACAGCAACAACTTGAGCAGAAATAATGTGAGGAGCACTGCTCTCCCTAGAGGCACTTCCATGATTGACAGCCGAATCAGTGTCAACGCCACTAGAGCTACCACTTTCTTCATTTCTTCTCACTTCGTTCACCGTTACCGTGACTTTCGACTGGGATTTTCCACCAGCACCTCTACCTCTTGGCCGACTGTGTCCTGAGCTTCCACGACTACTGTTGTCTGTGCCGCTGTCACTAGTATTTGAAGAACTCTGACTGCTACTGAGGAAAATTGAAAACACAGTGTTAGGGACAGGACTATCAGAGCCTAAGGGGATTGGAAATATCAAGCGTTAAGGGAAACAAAATGGGTCTTAGTGGGGTGACATGTAGCCTGAAACACAGGGCAGCCAATTTAGATGAAAATGAAAGGCGAAATCCAATTGAAGAAAAAACAAACCATTTATCGAACGTTATTTATTTTGAAAAACCTAACCAAAAATGCAGTACATTTTTTCCAGTCTCGCCCCTTTGCACTACTATGTAATTCCTCTATGGTACTCCAGTTGCTCAGTGCCAGGAAATGTGTATTGAGGAAGATTGTCTGAGCCAAAAGAGATTTGGGATTTTAAGCACCATGGAGAAACAAAAAAATGGTTCTCAATGGAATGAAATTTCGACTGGAATGAAAAACTTTATGCCCAAGCCTGTGGGGGATTTCAGGGTAAAAGTATCATATATGCCCAACATATCTCTTAGGGGTTAAAATTCGTCCAGTCATGGCCTTTTTAAAAGACTTCCAGTATCTTTTATTTTATTTTATTTATTTTTTTATTTCTGACCAGCAAACCCGATACTTTTAACCCAGAGTCCTCTCCTGGCCCAAGAAGGAAATGTTTGTGGTTGACATACCTTCCTCGTCTGCTGGGCACACCAAAGCCTCCTCGATACCTTGGGCCACTATTAGTATCATCAGACTTTTTCTTGTAACTGTCATTGTGGGATGCATCGTTGTGTCTTTCAGCCTCACTCACAAAGCTTGGGCCTTCATATCTGCTTTTGTCTAAGAGTACCGCTTTCACCTCTTTTAGTCTAGAGGGTACATCTTTGCAATAATCTAACAAGGCAATTGCTAGGTCCCCTCTTTGTCTTCTTATACCTTCACAGAGAATAGGATAGGTAGTTTCTAGAACATTTGGTTTCATACCTGGAATAAATGATACAGAAAAATAAATTAATTGACTATTTGACCTGGTCTCCATGATGAATTCATGTCCCCCCACCCCCCCTTAAAAAGGAATTTTAAACTTCAATTGTAGCAATATGTGCACTATGAATGCATGATAGTCTTCCAGTACTTCCCATTAGGGGGCTTTCGTTCATTAGAGCATGGGGAAGGGGGGGAGGGGGGTTGGGTGGCAAAATCACATGGGAAGCTTCACGAACATAACCCAACCCCCCTATGGTAGAAGTAACAATTACATAACCCCCCTTTCATTACCCCGCAATAGTTCACAACCCCCTCCCCTTACGATTTGGCTGATCCCCCATGCACTAATCAACAAAAGCCCCTGTAGCTTCAGATGTAAAAGCAAGGCACTGTGATATGGTGTGTCTTAAGAACATGTAGTACAATAAATGCAAACCAACCTAGAGCACAGACTGCAGCCTTGTAGCCTATCTCCTCATCCAGTTTTTTGCCCTGATCAACAGTCGTACCATCCTTCTTTGGAGAGTTGGGACAACACAGTACTTCAAAGATAAAGGTAGCTAACATGATAGGCAGAATGGCCCCTCCTCTCTGAAGCTTGCCTTGACAGATCAAGTTTGCCTTTTCTCTGACCACCATCATCTCTTCCTGTCTTAGAGGAAGCTTCTTGAGAAGAGCAAAGAGTTCGGATTCCTGATTGGCTAGTTTCACCTAGTAGTAAAATGATGTAAGAATGCAACGTTTACCACTTTTGCAGTTGATTAAAAAAAAATGCCCTATTTACCCCTCCCTACTCTTCCCCTCTAACAAGGATATTTGCCTATGAAGTATTCCCTAGTACTAATCAATATGTCTAAGGATCCCAAGAAAAGATATCCCACCCTCCCCTCCCTCCCTACCAAGTATTCCCTACTGCTACACAGACTTTCTAGGGATCCCAAGATCAAGCATCCCCACCCTCCTCTACCTCCCTACCAAGTCTTCCCTAGTGCTATTCAGTCTTTCTAGAGTTGATCCCAAGAGCAAATATCACCACTGAGCCTCCCCTCCCTCCCTACCAAGTATTCCCTACTACTAATCAGTCTGAAGTACACACCTCTAAAGCTTTGCTCTTAGCTGGCTGTCTAGGCATTTCAAGACCAAATATTCCAACTCTAAAAGCTAAGTGATGGCAGTGGGGATCTTCAGCTAACACCCCACATAAAAATGCAGCCTTGACGAGTGTAGTGCTACTGAAAGACAGTGGTTTGGCATTCTTGTTCTTTGCAGTATTCATATCAAGCTGAGTCTCACTGCTGAGGATTGTCTCAGCCAGTTTCACAGCTAGTTTTCTGGCTTTATCTGGATACCCGTGGACATGCAAGGCTTCTGCACGAGTGCAGAGGTCTTCTAGATCTTCATTGATTTTATGGAGAGGAACAGGCGTAACATCAGGGAATTCTGTGTCTTTCTTCATTCTATCAAAAGAATCAAAACAGCAGGAGATTGGACTTTCAGGTGAAAAATGTACATAATTTCACAGAGAAATACAATTGTTAGACCCTTTATGCCAAGGAGCCCCATTTTAATGACACACAAATAGTTGGGAAGCATGAGTGATTTACTAATGTGAGCACTCACCTCTCACCAATGCAAACAGGGACAGATTGGAATGCAACCCTTAGTTTATAAACATCTCAGTAATGTTGCCTGTAGGCTCTCTTCTTCTTTGAAGGGTTTTCCCTGGGTTTTCCTTGGGCTCTCAAGTTTCCCTCCCTCTGTAAACCTCAAATTCTAATTGGATTTCAGCAGATAAATAGTCATTCTGTGGAAAGCCACTGATTAATCCCATAATTTACATTTATATTCACTAAATACAATGAAATCTCAGTTTTCCATTTTTACCCCCATCAGGGCATTCCTATTACTATTTGGATTCAAGCACATCTCATGTTATTGCTTTCTTATTTTGGTATCATTGAATATTGTATAAACTGTTTGCTTACATTTCTGGTTCTGCACTTCTTTCCTCTGGAATACAAGTTAATGAACAAACTAGATTCTGTTCATCAGAAGTGGAACCAGAACAGACTGACAGACAGGTAGGAAGGGTTTGTTTAGCATCTAGAAGTGGTAGCTGTTCTCCTCCACAAGTAAGTGTGACGGTCTGAACTTCAGCAGACATTTCAGTATTAGGTTTTTCATTATCAGAGGAAAGGTTGACGTTGCTCCAATCAAGTGAGCAGCCCTCAATGGCAGGAAGAAATCCAGGAAAGCATGAGACAGCAGCTTCAAATCCAGCACCATGACCTGGTAATGAACCAAGAATGAAAAAAAATGATGGTATTCAAGAGAGTACATTGAAATGTTAACGCTAGAGAGTCCAGCGTTCTATTTGTTAGATTCATCTCTCTCATTGTATAATGTACTACAGAATATAATAATGATGATACAGTATGTACAGGGGTATAGTAATGAAGCTGACTAGCACCATATGGTGGCGATGAAGGTGGTGGTGATGGTGATGATAATGACAATGGTGTCCAGTGATGACAATGATGATGATAGGATGGTGGTGATGATGATGGTGATGATACGTAGTGTTGCCTGTCAACACTATGAAGCATCCTTCATAACATTGGGCAGGAGTTACAATGACAGCAGGACATCGGACAAATGTCTGACCCGAATTAGAACTTGTCTGCTCAAATCTATTCTGGATGATGATGATTTTAAATATACTAGTGCACAACACCCCAAAAATGCCTCAGAGGCATGTTTTGGTGACATAAAATTAGTTCTTTGCTCACCAGCTCTGGCTTTGTCTACAGCATTCTGGTGCCATGCTTCCAGTCTTAGCTTCAATTCTGCTCTCTCTTGATTAGAAAGTTTAGGATTAAGAGCTGCTAACCTCCAAAGAACAACCAATTCATCACAAAACCCAGCACAGGCATGCTTCGTGGCTTCAGTGCTAGCAGCATTGGTGTTGTTACGGTAACCATTACCATGGTTACGATGTGCTGATGAACTGGATGCTTGACTGCGGCTATCAAACCACCAGATAACAACTTGATCGTTAGCTAGACATTCCTCTGTAAGAGTAGAAAGAAGACTGACTGCATTAGAGTCACTTCTGTGGAAGAGTTCCCGGACAATGTAAAGAAGGTTCCACATCCCTTCTGGCTCACGACCTTTAAGGGGTCTTAGAAGATTTGACCTGGAAAATAAGATCAAAATTAAAGCTTGCAATAGCAGATTTTATGCATGCACACAAATGAGATGCAAATAAGACAACAAGTATTGTATCGACTTGATAGCCTCACTTGTTTGATTCTGAAAACAAAAGAATATCTCATTACAGACTCAACTGTAATAACAGCTATTCACAAAATCATAAACTTGAATGCATAAATTTATTATCATGAGTTTAATTTGTGATAAATTGTGACTTCAAAAAAAAAAAAAATTTAATTTTCGTTGCCAGTAATTATTATTTGCATGCATGCTAATATGTTAAAAAAATACACTGACTCTTAAATTTGTAATCCAATCTATGGTTCCGACTCCCCTTAGTTACTGTTGCTATGTCCCACAAACTCAAAAACCTAGCTACAGTAGATAATTTCAAAATTTAAAAACTTTCATTCCAGAAAAATTGATTATAAATTGTTTAAATTGTTTTCTGTCCAGTAAAAATAACATAAAATTGCCCTGTAATCCTGGTAGTACTCTTTAAAACAGATACTATGTAATCATTTATGAGACAAGATTTAAAATTCCACTGCGACAACTTCTGCAATGGTACAGTGATCGGTTTGCTATTTTCTGAGTAACTTGCACACATAGCATCACAATGCAAATGTTGATGATCACATCAAAAATCTTCCCAGTGACACTGTCATTCAATACAAATGACTCACCATTCAGCAGCCGTTGGTGGTGCAGTGTTAGACATATAAAAGGCATTGACATCATTAAGTGGACCTGGACCACAAAATCTAACAAGCATCTTGCGGACACTCTCTTGTAATGCTTTTTCATCTAAACACCACCTGCTTTGGTCTGTAGCAGCAGGCCCAGCTGTTGGGTCTAAAAATTGGATTTAAGTAGTTTATTTTATGTTCAAAAATTTTAACTGAATTACAGTGTTTGACTCAGACGATTTCAAGCTGGCACCTAGAAAGCCAGAATATTAATATAGTTTTCTCTCTAGATCTTACTTTACTTTTAAACGCATTTAAAAAATCCAACGGGGTTGGCTACCTTTAGATTTTGAAGTAAAATAAGGCTTTGCAGATGACAAAAGATAGAGTGGCTGCCAAATTCTCCCAAGCCAAGGGCTCATGTATAAAGCACTGTGAGGTGAACCCATACCTCGATCCTCAGATGATTAGTGCTCCTTACTACAGGTATTTAAAGATAAAGCTACACAGAACAGCGAGAAGTCAAAACAGATGTGGAGATCCTAAACATCAAACTCTGAACCTCTGAAGACCATGGCCTAACTAACTGAGCTATACCTGCTCCTGAACAAGATAATATATGTATTATTAAAAATGTGAATTATGTTTCATTAAGATAATTTCTCTTGGGGAAAAAAAAATTAAAGAAAAATTTGCTTGAAGAAACATAATTTACATGTTTAAGGTGGCTGCCTACTTTTGAACGTTTGATTTGAGCCCACGATGTGCGCGCGCTCAAAAACCGCTGAAAAATCTACGAGATTTTATTGAAGAACCATATGCATTTTGAGCTTCAACAGGGCAAAACCCTCAGATTTTGCACGGGACTCTATGTTTTTTGATAGCTCATTCGAAAAAACTCCTAAAAATCAAGGTTATATCAACATTTTAGGAAAAGTTTAAATCAGGAACATGTGAAAAAATAGATTTTTGTAGGGATTTTTGTTCGACTTTATGAGATTTTTTAAGAGCACCAAAACTACAAAATATGACAAATCAATGTATCTCTCTGTCTTTTTGTCGAAAATAGCCATGTATTATTGTAGAAGGATAGACCAACCTTCATTCATGCAATCATATAGTCTGCAAATAGCTATTATCTTATTAATCTAAATTTTTGTTCTAATCACTTCTGGTGGCGCAATTTTTACTCCAAAAGCTCGTGCGTAGGCTCCCATTAAATGCTGATTATCTCGAAAACTTGGGACACCCTATTTTTCTTTCCAGATTTGGAATCAGCATTAAATTTCAATTCGGAAAATCGAACTTTTAAGAAAAGCTTAAATCCATTTCCAAAAGTAGGCAGTCACCTTAATGCCAATCCAAGCAGCAAAAACACTCTGCTGTTTATAAATATACCTGGTGCTCCACACATGGTGTTAATAGTAGACTCCTGAGAGGACAACAACTCATCTAAAAGTCTTTGTGCTATTGGTAGAATCTACATAATAGGGAAAAAAATACATCATATGATTTGTATGACCAGGGCTTAAGAAAATGGCTGTTCATCAGACATTGTCTGGTCAAATCTTTGCCAGTCATTTTGACCAGGAACATTGAACCAGAAACGAGGTATGAGTGAGTTAAAACTAAATTGGTCGGTTGGTATGACCAGCGACTGTCCGGCCATTATTAAGCACTTTACGCACTGACAACGAGAGACCAAGACAAAGGCATTTGCATGACGTTGCCGTCATAAAATTTAGTTGCACATGCGTAAGTCAAAGTCTGTCATTCTGGAATGTCGTCGTGTCGATTACACATATCAATTAATAACTATATATATTAATTATACTAATAATAAATAATACCTGTTGTGGTAGCTCACTAATCAAATATTGAGCAAACTTCTGCAGTTGATCTCGGCAAAGTCTCGACAGATACTCAGATACAGGAGCTCTAAGACATACTTGGTCAGGGTAGTAAATACGAAAGAGACAGAGTGCAATGATATGAGCGCACCATGTTGCTGATGGTGAGCATGTGCAGTAACATGATGTGATATGGCCTCTGTCAAAGGTTACAGCTACGTTGAACATTCCTTTGGTTTGAATAGGGCTGTGTTGTTGGTTTATTGTCCCACTGAGGTGAAAACCTGAGGACAGATTAATAATAATATATTGATCACCAAAAATTGGTATTAAAATAGCATATCATCTTCTGATGTCATTATTTTACTATTTTATCACTGATTTTTGTAGACTCTTCCACAGTCTCTTGCTCGTCCGTTCTGTCTCCACGCTTAGAGACTGTAACGGTACAATGACCGAAAGGACTTATGGGTCCTGAAAACTTGGACCCAGCGTTCTTTGGGAACCAAAATACTCGTCCACAGTCTCTCTCGTTTTCGCCGCCATCTTGAAAATATTGAAACGAGAGACTGTGGACGAGTATTTTGGTTCCCAAAGCACGCTGGGTCCAAGTTTTCAGGACTCATAAGTCATTTCAGTCATTGTACCGTTACAGTCTCTAAGCGTGGAGACGGAACAGAGGAGCGAGAGACTGTGGAAGAGTCTATGATTTTTGCTCATGGCAAAAATACTATGACGTAAATGACAAAAAAGACAGACAGACTGACATACGGAAGGAAGAAAGAATAAAAACTATTTGACATAAAGACTAATTAATGGACTGAAACGAGTCGCAATAACAGTGCAATTCTAACTAAATTTCACAAAAATACTTTTAATTATGATTATGAACCAGTATTTGACTGTTTTACCAATTTGTAGGACATCTCTAACTGCTTTAGCCTTGACGAGGTGCTCTCCTTTCAAAAACTCCTCCGGCGAGCCATTCGCCAAACAAGAATATAGCCGTATATCATCTTCTACTTGAGGAAAAGACCAAAAAGCTATCCTCAATTGAATTTGTTCTGAAGTTTGTGGATAGGTATGCTCCACGGTCTCAAAAGGAATACACTTTGCCACCTTTTTTGCACACAATTCTATCAAGCTATCGACTCGAGCTTCGTTTTCATAACTGCTCGTCGAGCCGATTTGAGAATTCCTCTTCCATCCCCTCCAGTTTGCTGAGATACTTTCAGGGTCCGAGATCCAGGAACCTAATGAATCCTCTTCGAATCTATCACTGTCTTCAAATGAGAAGCGTTCTTCGTTGTTTTCTTCCCATTCAAACCACAAATCCATGGTTTCGATAGACGACTCATCTCATTTTGTACAACAACATTGACCGAAACACTGGCCGAGCTGCCTCGCTATCAATGTATCCACAGGCAACCCACACTCCCAAATCTATGGACGATCATGGACATTTTTATGTCATTTTATTAGGAAGGGTGTAAAATGGCCGAGACTCCTTGTTTTTTAAAAAACAATATGGATAATCTTTATTTTGGGACTAATAATTTCACTTATCAGTTTCATGGAAGTCTTTTCATAATAGTTTTTTCCAGTAACTTTTAAGAGAACACAGGCGTCCTAAGATCTGTGTTTATTCTTTGGCTTGGACACGCTTGGGCGTAATGTTTTCCAATTTCATAACGTGTCATTGCCTAGGGTATTATTTCTTTGTTTAACGGTTGCAAGAGAATACATATGAATATGGACAGGGTTCTCACTCAAAATCAATATTTCAATGACCAAGAGGCACATTTCTCTTTAGTCGTTTTAATGTAAAGTAACTATAAATCTGCAACTGGTACCAAACTCATTTCATGTTTCACTGCAGGAAATTCACAGACAAAGATATCATATGTATCGATGTCAGAAAACCTTTAGAAAGTTTCGTTTTGAAGTGAAATTGCATAATTATCACCAAAACGAATTTGAGACTGCTGACAAAAATTCCCTGACTTTTCAATAAATTGTAAATTTCCCTGACAAAAATCAAAATTCCCTGATAATTCCCTGACCGTGGGAACCCTGCAAGAGGCCATGATGATGTAAAGAAAAATCAAAGGATTGATGGCAGCAGACAATCTTATTCCAAATAACAACTGATCTCATTTGGTGCCAGTTTGAGCATTGTATGGCTCTAAACAGTAGTTTTAAAGGAGAGTTACACATAGTTTGAGAAAACGGCAGTAATCTTCTATCACTACTAGATATATATAACTCACAGCAATGAAAAGAATTTGCTACATGGAATAATATAACCAACACAACTAGGATAATTGATCTTGGGGGGGGGGGGGGGGGGGTAGGGGTAAAAAAAAAATGTGAATCGAATTTTGAAACAAAATAAACAGAAGCGTTTTTAATTTGGCTTTATTTCTTGACTATCAAGACAATACATTTACAGACGTCTACCACGTCGGCCTCCCTTTCTTCGGGTACTGTCAGAGGGAATGGGAGTAACATCCTCTGCAAATAAATAAGAAATATTTAAGTTTCTAGTTGTTTTAGCGTTTCCCACTAATTAGGGACACTTTTCACTCACACACGCTATCACTACATTCAATGCTCAACTCACATATTGATTTTTAAGGAGGGAGGAAGAGAACCCAGAGAAAACCCTCCTAGCACAGGAGAGAACAATACAACGAGCAAATTTACACCATATTATGGTGTCTGCAGGGTTTGAACCAGTGACCCAAACCTTTGGAACCACAGTGGTGAAAGGCGACATGTTAGCAGCATACACCACCATGCTACCCATGATAATTAGGTTAGATACATTGTATTAGGTCAGTCTTGTGAGAATTTTGGGAAGTGAGATCATGCGGCATAGCATTACTTCTTATATCATCCCCCCTCTGTTTAGGAAAGAAAAACCAATGGTTCAAAATAGATCTTTGAAATTTTCAGGAAAGCAATCAATCAGAAATCTCAAAAGATTTAACAAAAAATAAGAGAAATGCAGTACATTTCAAATGAAAATCTCAGGGCTTTAAAGAAAAGTTCAGCAACTTTATGCAAGGTAAGTTAATTTTGGACTTCACACACAAGATCTGGTTCTTACCAATACGCCCAATCTTCATGCCTGATCGAGCAAGGGCTCTCAATGCAGACTGGGCTCCTGGTCCTGGGGTCTTAGTTCTGAAAATAAAATACCAGATTGTAAATCTTGTTCATATTGATCATTAATAATAATAATTACAAAACCAATAAATGAACTATTCAAAATATTTTGGGTCTTTTTTGACTTTTTACTAGGCCAAACAAGGTTTGATTTTTTTTTTTACTGTTTTACTGATGCAAGATTGAAAATGAGCTTACTGGGAACCATGTGGTGCATTTGGGAATGAAAAAAAAAATTAGGGTTGGCAAAAATTGGCAAGAAAATTAGGATCAGTTGCGCAACAGAAAACACAATTTTTTTGTTTGGCCCTATCAAAATATGTCAATCCTGGTAATATCTGTGTCTTGACTTGGGGAAAATTAACATTTGGAAGCTTGAAGGATCTTAGAGATTGTATGTGTATGTTTGGTTTCTGGTTTTAGTTGGTAGAAATAGTCAGATGTATACAGATACTTTGACATGGTTTGACTTATCAGTTGCTAGTTGCATATTAATTGTCCCCAAGTCAACTCCAAAACTTCAAATAATTTATAGTTTATCAATTATTGCATGATTATAAAAACCAATGGGTAAAGCAGCCACAAATCAGCCATTTTACAGTTGATAGTAAAGTCCAATTAAACATTAGGTAGTATTGCGATGGGCACCTTATATGCTTATTTCAATAAAAGGAAGTCACCAAAACCTGACAAAACTGAGACTGCTGATCATCATGGGAAACATTTCTTATCAAAAGTTGAGCCTTCAATAGTTTCTCACAGGAGATGAACTTGTAACTGGTAAAAGATCATGTAACATGTAAAATGTATCTACCCATGAAACATGTAAAATGTATTTATCCATATTCCTTGTCGGTCTCAGCTTTGTAACTTTTCAGGTGACTAGCTTTATTGATTTATTATGAATTTCAGCATTTTTATAGCAAGAGTCTTCCCGAAGTAGGTGTAATATATTAATCCTTACTTGTTGCCACCAGTAGCCCTAAGCTTAATGTGAAGAGCATTGATACCAATCTCCTTGCATCTGACTGCAACATCTTGGGCAGCCAACATAGCAGCATAGGGGGAAGCCTGAAATTCAACACCGAAGTATAGGTTAACTATTTTAGAATAACTATTTGAGAAAAACAAGGAATAAGGAAAAAACAAGATGGTGGGGCTTTTGGTATCATTAATCAATTAATTTAGAGCTAAAAATGATGGCTGGTCAGTCACCCTCATTATGACCAGCCAAATAAGTATTAGCTTAGTCATACATGTACCTCTTTTCTGACTCAACATTTTTGGTCAAATTGACTGGCAAAGATTTGACAGATAAGTTCTGATTCTGGATGGACATTGTCCAATGACTGTTATTTTAGGCCTCGTAATTAATAAATTTATCGTGAGGATTCTTTTGAATTATTTGAGTATGATTTAAAGCTATCACTGACCTCATCTCTGTCTGCTTTGACCTTCATTCCACCTGTGACACGGGAGATTGTTTCCCTGGTGAACAAAAATTTGAAAATATGAAACAATTTCAACAATAAAACAGAGGAATGGTCATTAGTCATTCTTTTGTGACCTAAATTGGTCAACTGATGGGTTGCAAACATTCCCAAGAGAATCTAAAGACAAAAAAAGTGGCCATTTTGGTGCCCTTCACAATATATTTTAATATGAAATCTTTTGTGGCACCAATGCTCTACCCAGAGGCTACATTGACCTAACATGAAATCCACGATTACAATGCAAAACTAATTGAACTTTACCCTTTCTCAATTGCAAAAAAATTAGGTTGAGTTGCATTGCTACATCGGCAGAGTCTCTTTTTCTCACTCCACCAAAACAAAAGGAAAATAGGCTCTACTAGCAGTGAATTTCGTTCCCTAAAATAGACCAAAAATGCACTGCCATACCAACTTGGCCCAGTGATAAAATGGTTTGAAATTGGAAAGTGTGGATATATCAAATCGGAGCGATTGCAGAATACCCTGCCACAGAAAGGCACTTATAACTACGAAGTGGCTACGCGGCTACACAGTCAAAATTGATGCGCGAGGCTTCCTTGTCTTAATAGAACGAGGTGTAACTAAGTGGCTACACAGCTACGCAGTCAAAATTAATGAGTCGGGCTTTCTATGTCTTGACTTAATAGAATGAGGAATAACTACGAAGTGGCTACATGGCTACGCAGTCAAAATTAATGAGTCAGGTATCCTATGTCTTAATAGAACGAGGTATTCTGCAATTTAGCCATCAAATCTCGCATACAAACAAGAATTTCATACACCACACATAAAAAGCTTAATAAAATAGCTATATCGTATTAATTCTAATATGTTATCTAGTATGTGGGGTAGCAATATCTTGACTGGACATATTAAAAAAAACATTGGGCGTCTTACCTGCCAGACAAGTCAGTCACATGAACGAAAGTATCGTTAAATGAAGCAAAAATGTGAGCAACTCCAAATGCTAATTCACCCTCACCAACCTTAAAAATATTATGAAGTTAAAATCAGTCCTCTAATTTATGACAACTCTTAAGTCATGTCAAAATTGGCCATGAGGAAAATGCCACATTGTATAACATTTAAATAAAGATACAGTTGCTACCAAAAATAGTCGTACCTGAAGACCTAGGGTAATATTTTCCTCGGCCTTCGGTGTTTTTTGACCCTTTCGTGGCGCCATTCTGTAAAAATAACAACATATCTCTATAAAACACAGATTATACTTTATATAGAACGACTAAATTTAATTCGATGTTTCGTTTAATGCAGAGATATTTGTGGATTTAATACTAACTCTGTTTATTGGATCGATGGCAGATTTTGAAGAGATCGAAGAGGACAATCCCATGCGCCTTTGCGATTGTTATGCTGCTTATGCGCACGCGCTGTATGGACACCCACTGACCAACACATGTGGAAAAATTTTATTTTCAAAACGCGAAAAAATACGTCCAAAAAATAGGCTTTTAAAATGCCTGATCAAAAAATAAGATACATTGGTGCTGCTTTACAAGCACTATTGATTGGTACCCTCACCTATTATGGCGTTAAATGGATAATGGAAGCTTTTGATCCGACAAGAAAAAGTCGCTTAGCTGCGCAAAAACAAGTGAGTCTAGAAATTTGTGGTTTGAAGGAATTTTTGAATTTTCTTAGTGAATGCGTTCTCGTTCAATCCCGGCTTTAGGCTGAAAAGTTGTTAAAGAAAATTGGAGTGGAAGGTGTAAAAGTAAGTACTTAGTAAAACAAATTCAAACTGATAAGTATTGTTTTGTTGCTGGCGATTTTTTACTACGTTTAATAATATGCTAATCAATATGATCAATCAAATGTTGCGGTCATGGTGATTGTGTTTGTCATCATTTATTACTGAGTGTATCATAATTATGTAACTAAATTTAATTTTGTGAATAAAATATTGAATAAAATATTGAATAAAATATTGAATAAAGTATAAACTAAATAACGTGGAAGCTTAGGTTGGTTAAGATTGAAGAGCAGCAACCTAGTTTTTGCTAAGGCACGAGGACTCACATGGATTTATTATAGAGTAGCTTTCTTTTGACTGTGAAAAGCTTAGGCATGAACACAGTCGTGACACAGCAAGGGATACGCCAGACCAATCACATTGCTCCAGAATATCAAATAGCCGGAAAATGGTATAAACATGGCACGGACACAGCCACGCCAAGGTCATGAACTGCCATATTTACCAATCACATTGTGTATAAGAAAAGAATCAGTCAATTAAATTTCTGAAAAAAGGCGGTCACAACAAGACACTGAACTTTCCATAGTCGAAAACTGCTCTATTGACACTAGTGTCATATTGGGAAGTACGCCACTCGTATTTTACTACATCCAGGACCTCAGTGACATATTTTTCATATCCTCACATGTGAAAATATCACTTCTGATTTGTGTTGCTAACAGTTTTGGTTTGTGAATGTGGCTTGAAGATATTAAGTTCACGTTAATGATGCCAGTGATATCCAGTTTACTATGAATAGGCTATTTGGACCCATCAAACAGTAACATGCTGATATATCACTTTCACAACAAATCAATTCAGCCAAAGGTCCCTTGAGGAAGGCTCAGCTGGATGGCAAACAAATTTTAAATAATTTATTGCTTCGTATCTTGAAATTGAAAGAATCTCATTAGAGAGAAAAGCATCTTAAAAAAGGTTTTGGATTTCAAATAAGTAATACAGCAAAATTTATTCGAATAAAGATATCCAGTTAAAGTCATGTTTCCTGAAGACATCCTATTTAGGTTCAACTTTTATATTTTTCTCCATTGTAGTTGAGTGAATATGAATTAGCTATAGCTGCCGACTTGGTAGACCCCCTGTCATTACCAGTAGAATGGACACAGATTGGTGGGCTTCAAGATACTATTCAGGAGGTTAAGGTACTAATATTGATAAACACTGGGCCATTTATTCATATTAAAAGTTTACACAAAAGAGATCACAAAGGGACAAGATAATTTTTATTTACTTTTTTTTTTCGCACAGGAAAATTTAGCCTGCGTCACATCCGGAATTTTCTTTGTAAATACAGACTTTGAAAGAAAAGACCGGATTGAACGCACGCTGAGGAAAAGTGGGATTAAATGTTTTACAAGATTTAGATTTGACAAGCTGACAAGCTTCCTTCCTTCCTCTATAGTGAGATACTGGTGTTGTTTCGTTCTCATTCCCCTCTGTCTTGACTCCTCCTTCTTCATGTTCAAGCAGAGCTGAGCTTGTTTTGAGTAGTGCTAAGTCATAGAGTATGGAGTTTTCTATCTTTTTGCTCCACTTTTGTCTTTGTGTGTGTGTGGTTTTGGGAGGGGGGGAGTGTTATGGAGCAACACTCAGGCTAAAATTCTATTTTCTTGGTAGGAAACAGTGATATTACCCATAAGACAAAGAGATATATTTGAAGGATCACAACTTCTTGCTCCTCCTAAAGGTATGGGCTTCATTCTTCCTTTACTATGATTCCCAGCTTCCCTTTAGCACAGTGAGTTAAGCTAATGGAAAGCTGCTTGCTATTTTAAGAAATCTGTGTTAGTCCTTCCATGGGCAAATTATTTAAGGCCAAGTGATGGGGTAGCCTCCCCCCTTTTGTTAAGGATTCATTCTTTACCTCCCCCCTCCCCTATCCAAATCCCCCTATCCACACAGTGGCTCAATCATCAAACGCATTTCTGGAAACCATATTTTAAAAATTTTCTTGGAAGCTTTCCCTTGAACATCAAACAAATGTTTCTACCTCCTCCCCTTTCTCAGATTGCTTTTTTACCATGAAAACCAGTCAGAAGTTTTATGTCACTAATACTTGATTCACAGTTATTGATTCATGATTATTGAATACTATTCCAGGAGTTTTAATATACGGCCCACCTGGATGTGGTAAAACGATGATTGCTAAGGCAACTGCAAAAGAAGCAGGTTGGTTGACATTAGTAAACTGATAGAAAATTGTTATTTATAGGAGGACGCAATCAAATATTGAAACTTCTATTGTTTTTGTTTTTGTCCATGTAATGCAAATTATAAAAAGTACACACAGCTTTGATATCTCAATAACACTCAATTGCAAAATCATTGTGAAGTTCAAAAAAAAAAAACATTGAACTTAGAAACTGAGACTGAAATGGCTGATACATTTGGAAATAACATAATCATAATATATCCAAAATCAGCTTTCGCTTTCCTCACAGCTTTTCCAACGACTTACTTCTGAGTCTGATAAAGTAAACTTTATTCTATGTGGTTCTCGACATTTAACTTTTAAGCAAAATCAAGAACTGTTCTTGAGTGTCAGTGTCCAACAATATTATTGATAGACACCAAAAGATTTGTATGTGCATAGAGTAAAGAACGCTTATTAATTGATTTTGTAGATATATTTTCTTTTTTGTACTTTTTCTATATATGTATGTTTTTTTTTTTTTGTTTCTCTCTAATATATTTATTTACTTATTTTTTTCTTTTTCCTAAAAACTCCTAAAAAATCATAATTATGTTCTGTGTAATCTCCCATGATAACATTAGCTCTTGGAGCGAACGCAGAAAAAAATATAATCATTATAATCATAATATATCCTTGGATGCCTTTATTTGGGATATAATAAGTCAATATGACACAATGGTTCTACTATGGTTTGAATCCCACAATAATTTTGAAATATCTGTCTACTACTTGCAGGGTGTAGATTTTTAAATCTTCAAGTATCTTCTCTGACTGATAAATGGTATGGGGAATCTCAGAAGCTAGCCGCTGCAGTGTTTTCACTGGTAAGACAGGAATTGAATTTACAGCCACAAACATGCTGAGTGTCTGGAATAGCTATCTTCCTCAATATTATTTTGTTTGGCTCTTTGTCTTTATTGTGCTTCCCAAAACTTTTTTATAACTGACCATTTTGGCAATCCTACATTCGTAAAGAAATATTTCAATTAGAGTGATTTTACTTGGACTGTGAAACAAAGTTGTATATAATAATTTAGTGACTAACAATTCAAGTAAAATAAATTGAAAACAAATGGAATTTTGGTCTCCTACTACGTGTTACGTCGACTTGAATGATTATTCTTTCATGGGCAAAGTAAAATTAGTCTAGTAAAAAAAGGTTACACTAACTCTGTGTTTATACTGTTTTTGCTATTTCAGGCTATTAAGCTGCAGCCATGTATTATTTTCATTGATGAAATAGGTACGTACTATATACAAGGGCTAAAAATGACTGCTGGTTTTTGAACAATTTCTCACCAGAATTGGAACTTGTCTGGTTAAATCTTTGCCTTGCCAGTCATTTTGACCAGTATTATTGAACCAGACATTTTAACCCTGTATACAAACAAGCGTTATTATATTTATAAAACAGTTTACTAAATACCATGCTTATACACTGTCATAATGTTGCAATTTACATTTTATTTTGAGCACAAGGGCATTTAAAACATCTGGCTACTGTGCAATAATGTATCAACAGGGGACATACTGAAGCAGTGCATTTTCTCCTTAGATTCATTTTTAAGAGCAAGAGATAAAACTGATCATGAGGCCACTGCAATGATGAAAGCACAGTTTATGAGCCTATGGGATGGTGAGTACTTCAACCTCAGTATTTAACACTGAAGATATATATCTCTGATAATCTTAATTCCAGTCATAAATTCCAATTTTATCACCGAGTTTGCCTTGTTCTGACACAGAGTTTGTGTCAGAGTGTTGATCTCTAAGTTTTCCATCCCCTGACTTAATTAAATCAGCTCAAAGGTTGTTTCAGGGTTTGATCTGTGAGTTAGTCATGCCCTGACTTAGATCAGCCTGAGGTTGTTTCAGGGTCTGATCTGTGAGTTAGCCATGCCCTGACTTAGATCAGCCCAGAGGTTGTTTCAGGGTTTGATTTGTGAGTTGTCCATGCCCTGACTTCGATCATCCCAGAGGCTGCTTCAGGGTATTGATAAAATTTCATTCAATAAATTTTTAAAAATTTTAAGGACAAATAACTGTGGCAAAACAACAATTTTCTCCAGTTTTCCTTGGTATTTCCTCTTATTTTCCCCTTTTTTGGTCACCTAGCCGCCAAAATATGTTGTGGACTCCCTCAGCTACGCGTCAAGAGTCCACAACATTTTCATGGCTAGATAACGAAATTTGTGGTAAATGAGATGATATATCATTCACAGAAAACTGGAGGAAATGGGTTAAATTTCAAACTTTTTTCACGTATAGTGGACTAGTAACTCAGAATTTTTTCAATACCTGTTGCCTTGTCCCTGAACAATAAACCCCAAGTATTTCTCTCATTTTATCTTATCTTCCACAAAAGGGCTTCTTACTGATCGTGACTGCCAAGTGATAATAATGGGTGCAACCAACAGACCTCAAGATGTAGATAAAGCAATATTAAGAAGAATGCCAGCATCATTCCATGTTGGGCTTCCTGTAAGCAGCCATTCTTTCAATTATAATAATTGTAACTAGTCTTATATAGAGTCTGAAGGCCATGTTATGCATTAAGACTTTTACAGTAGTTGAAGCTTGTGTGCAATGGCATTGTGATAGAAGTTTCAGAACAAATTGCACACTGGGTATAAGACCCCCATGAAACCTTTCTCACGATGTTGTTCACATGTGAGCATCTCCCAATGGAACATGTGCAATAGAAAGATTATTAATTATTGTTGCACGCAAGTTTCAGCCATTTTCTTAGGCTTCTGTTCTCTTGAACTAAGTGAACCTCTCATTAAAAAATGAAACACATGTAAATACATTGTAATCGCACATCGTAAACACATTGTAATCCATTTCAATGTGAGAATGTGTCGATGAACCCCATTATTAATTTGAAGATAAATATTATTCTCAAGGGATCAATGATATGTTGCCTGAAATGATAAAAGATTATAATGGCATTGCTCAGTTCAAATTTTTCCTTAGAATGAAAAGCAAAGAGAAGAAATCCTTCGAATAATCCTTGGACATGAAAACGTAAGTTAAAGTTTTAGTATAGAGGCTTTGCACCATCATGTGATGGCAGCCATGACAGGAGGCACAACAATAGAGTCTTTCTCCCCTGGGAAATTGAATTCTTTCTTATAAAAATCAGATTAGACAAGATTCAGTTGTTTTGCCCCCTGTCATGGCTGCCATCACGTGATAGTGCAAATAAAAACCTCTATTGAAACCAAAGCTGCGGACCTAATTTTTTATGTGCCAATTTGTTTCTGATTTTGCTTTCCAGGTAGATGATGAGGTGTTTCTTAATTTAAATGAATTAGCTTCAATAACTAATGGTTTTTCTGGTAGTGATCTAAGAGAAGTCTGTAAGTTTTTAAGCCAAACTTGATGTTTTTATGTTACCATTGACCTTATTCAATTTTTAAATTAAAATTGGTGATTTTTTAATCAAAATGTGTTTTTCTATCAAAAATATCATCAGGTAGGGTTGCAGCAATGTCTTGTGTAAGGGACTACTTGAAGGACAGACGTGATGAATCGTAAGTACATTACGTTCGTACATTCCCATATTTAATGTAAACAAGTCTCTATTCAGCTGACACCTTAATTGAGCAGGTACCACTGTGTATTTTGATATTTGAATTGCACTCTATATTTGAAGTGCCCATTAGTGTTGTTTTCACAATACCGTGTTAATTGCCTGAAAAAAATTCCACCACAGCATCAGCTCTTCACCTCCCTCTCTTTGTCATTAGTGACAGGCCCCTAAACTTTAATCTTGAATCTTCTTTCTTTAGGGGAGATAATGGCAGTGAAACCCTTGTTCAAACCATGCTCAGACCAATAAACATGAATGATCTGAACAAGTCTGCTCTCCAGTACAGCTCAAGTGTAGCATTAAAGACACAAATTTAAAATGAATGCAGCTCATAAAAATAGGTTTTCTAAAATTGACAGGGTTGATATAATACTTAATATTAGGTCATTTTAAAGTAATATTTAATGGTTAAAAACATGACTCACTTATACTTTATTTCACAAAGTTCAATTTAATAAAATTAGTGCTTACCTTATTTATTATTTTTTCAAAAAAGTATTTGAAAATCAGAGTGAAATCTTTTTAGGCATTTATTTTCATTATCCTAAGATTATAATTATAATATAAGTTTATATTATTTTTAACGGTAAAAGTAAAACACTTTGTGATTGCAGTCTAAATAATTCAGTTAATAACATTATGACATTGAAAACCTTTATGCTTGAACATAAATTATATGCTTTATGAAATATACAAATTCAGTTCACTATTCTTTGCTTTTATTCTCAATAATTTTTGGAAATCTACAAATCAATGGTATATTATTTCATTATTGGATGCCAATGAAATTAAAGGTACTTCTATGACATTATATTAGCAATATATAGACCGTTTTCTCAAGATTGCATGCGCATCCAAATTTAAGGAACTTGACAGGCCACAATATACCAGAACAGGAGCTTATATATAATGAGAATTATTATACATTTCTATGAGATTTTTTTGATAAGAATTCATGAAATTGATTATTCTCCTCTTCGATTAAACATAAAACTGGCTTCTCAATTTTACTGAATTTGCATTTTTCATTTTTGTGGCCTGTCAAGTTAGATGCACATATAAACCTTGAGAAAATGGTCTATAGCATGCATGGTTAGAAAAAAGTGGGTTGAGTTGGCATTGCAGTGCATTGTGGGGCTGTTTTAGGGGACTAAATAGATGCCATCTTGGAAATATGTTCCCTAAAACAGACCCCAAAGGCACTGCAATTACATCAACTCAACCAAGTTTTTCCCTCAACCTAGTTATAACAAGTAATTACTATTAAATAGTAATGAGCCATAGCAAACTAGTTTTTCCCCTAACAAAATAATGTCCTTGGAATGCCTTGTTTGACATCCAACAAAACCTAATTTAATTTGTCTTTGATGACAATCTGTTATATATTTTTTTTGTAAAGATAATAAATTCAACAGACTATAATAGACCAGAATAAATTAGATGTTTCAATGGAGGAATAGCAAGCTTACAGCTGTACATAGACTAGCTTACAGCAATCATTTGTTTTCTCTAGCAGGTTCATTAATATTTTTGTGTGTTTATATTGATTCACAAAAATAAGTTGTTTCAATGGAGATTTGAATAGCAATTAGCTTGCAGCTGTACAAAGACAAGCATTCCTCTATTAATTCAATGTTTATTCATATTTTTTGTGTGTTTGCATATATCAAAATCTGTATCAAATGCTATTAAAATTTGTTATCAAATGCTATTAAGTAGATTTTTTGTGTTGAAGTTGACAATTAGTTTTACATAGCCTGAGAAAATCCTTTTTTTCACTCCCAATTATTGGCCCCAAAAGAGAGAAAGAAAGTATCTTTTGAGGCAACCCCAAGTAGCGAGTTAAAGGATGGCTGTTTTTAATGCTTTCCTATACTAAAGTGTCTATTAGTTTCAAATCTAAAATATTAAAATATTAAATATTAAAACGAAATTTTGACTACCTGACATTTATAAACAAAATTCTCCCATTGGGGGATATGGATAATTTTTGGAACTACACAATATAATTCAGACAAATATAAAGGATTATTTTTTTAAATGTGCCAATTTTTTCAGACTAAATCATTTTAGAACAAAATATTCCGACATTTACTGGAACTAATGAAATAGTTATATTTTTCCAGTTTCTCCCGTTGTTAATATTTTTTTAGCTTAAACTTCTTTGTGCTTCCTGTGGTAAATTTGGGCAAGTTTAAACTTGTCAACAACTACGCAGTTTTTATAACAAACCCCATGATGCTTCACGGGCATTTTTCCCGCTAAAATTTTACGAGACCTATCACATGATAAATGAACCAATCGGAATTCAGGAAATTGAAATTCCCGGGTTTTAAGAAGCATGAAAATTTGGCGCGTACTTTATTTGGAATTTGTTGCTCGACGTCTAAGGTAGGTTTGAACAATCCTTCTCAATCTAGAGCCATCCTTGGCTTAAAACTTTTATAATCTACATAGAAATTGAATATGATGATTCTTTATTACTTATTCTTGTATATCGAGTGACTTCTCGCATTAAWTTTCATTATTTTGGGAGAAAAATTGTGCTTCTTAAGAGCTGTTTGTGTAATCAAGTTTCAAGCGAATGTCGCTGCAAAATACCTACTTTGGCCTACCGTTCTTAATTTCTTATGGTATTTTGTGAATCCAAGGAGTATTGGAAAGTATTCAGTTCAAAATTTCTTTCTTTTAATATGATTATCAGCTTGTATTTCATAATTCTTTGCTTTCCAAAGCCACATCTCCAAAAATTGAACATCGATTCAAAATAATTTGTATTTCACCTTTTACGACCAAAGTCTGATTCTCAATTTTTACTCGTTCTTTGTTTCAAGAGTGGGACCAAAAGTATCTTCGGGAATAATAATCGTGAAAGACATCTTCTCGTAAAATTCGTACATTCCAAAATGGCGCGGGAAAACGAAGAGTTCCCGCCATTTTCTGAATAGAACAATTGTTGGCAAATTCCGTTCAAAATAACAACATTTTACAGGTTTTGCTCAACTAAAGTGTTTCTAAATCAAATACTTGTCTTACGTTACTTAATTTTGGATTGTAATTAGCCGCTTAGAGTCCAAAAGAGAACCTGTATTCTGTGTTGAAGTCGAATCCAATCAATCATAGTTAAAACACGTCGAATTCTTGAAAAATTTGCTAGATATCGTTCCTTCGATTCCAGCTAGAAAGATTCCCAAGAGTTATTACTGCATTAGGAACTCCTTTAGCTCGATTTTTTTCCATAAATTGAAAAAACAATTTTTTTTACTGACTAGTCTTATATTTTTGTGAATTTTTCTTGTAGTTTTAACATCCTAATTTCCGAAATATATCAATATTCTGCTTATTGGGCATAATTTCAAATACTGCATAGCATAAGAATACGGTACTATATATTGTACAACCAGAGAGAGCTCCATTAGCTGTCTGGTGATGGTAAATTTCCCTCCACATTTCAGCATTAATTCTGCTAACACAGCCATGATTTCGTTTGTATTTCAGACTTATTTTTTAATCAACTCCTGCTTTGTAATTCACCATGTTTGAGGGAAAGCTTACCCAAGGAAATCTGCTCAAGAAAATCATTGAAGCTATCAAAGACATTGTAACAAGTGGGAACTGGGAATGTTCTACCACAGGGCTGAGTCTACAAGCCATGGATAGCAGCCATGTCTGTCTTGTATCCCTTCAGCTCAAATCAGATGCTTTCGATCCCTACAGATGTGACCGCAACATTACCTTGGGACTGGAAACAAACATGTTGTCGAAAATTCTTAAATGCGCTGGAAATGATGATACCATAACAATATCCTCTGCCGATAATGGTGATACTGTATCATTCCTGTTTGAGAGCCCAAGTAAGTTAATAGCAGATGTCAAGATTTTAAAGAAATTGTCTTTTCTTTGGAAAAGATTCAATTTATTCCTTATGCTTTTAAGTATTTGTTGGAAATAGAATATCTTTAAACTCTGAATTGGCCTAGAATATCTTTAAACTCAGAATTGGCAAAAATATTTAGATTTATTTTCCATTGACATTTCAATTTGGCAGTTAAGAATAATATTGTGTTAACCTGCCAGTAGTAAAATTTGGCCTGCATTTTTGCTATTGCATTTAATTACTCCAGCTGCAAAAATTAAAAAAATAAATAGATAAATTATATAGCTGGGAATAATAATTATTGTCTTGCCCATACTGTATTATTGTGTTTTAACAAGCACAGCAATATTCAAGTTATATTTTCTGATTAGTAAGTTTGGAATGCCTTTCTTAACAAACGGAGAGCTTGAATTCATAAGACAGTAGGATAACATTATTTCTGTTTTGTTTTTCAGATGGAGAAAAGACATCTACATATACAACAAAACTTATGGATATTGATAGTGATAACCTTGGAATTCCAGTAAGTTCAGCAATAGACCCCTTGCAGGATATTTCCAAAGCAGCCCAATTGAGTTGAGTTGAGCAGCTCTGGAATTGCTAAAACCAGTCTATAATTCATATTTTCATGCAAGTGAAATAAGTAGTGCTATAGTGCCATTATCCCTTGCACTATCCATGTCTTTGAAAAGAAAATTGATCTATTATCTAAACATGTGTAGTTATTGAAGTATTATGATCATCTGGGTGGATGTAATCCTGAGAAGGACTGTTTGATGTGACTGACGTTTCAACAACCTGAGCGGAAGTCATCTTCATCTTCAACATGTGTACAACATTAACCTCCCAGAGTTTTGTTTATTATCAATGTTTTATCTCTGTCTCACCATTTACAATCTCTAAAAATTACGTAAATACTTCAAGTCAGGGGGTGCTAACTGGTGTATTTGGAGTGTTGGGTTGTGTGATCCTAAGTCTAGGAATTGAACCTGAGACAACAGGAGAGTGCACTGCCACACCACTTTTGATTCTTTCTGAAATGTTTTCCATAACTGACAACTGAATGATTTTTTAATAGGATCAAAAATATGATGCAACAGTGAAGCTCCCATCACATGAGTTCCAGCGAATCATAAGAGACCTGTCTCAAATGGGAGATTCTGTTATAATTGCTTGCACAAAGGATGGAGTCACCTTTTCTGTCAATGGAGATTCTGGCAGTGGGAAGATAACATTAAGACAAAATGCCAGTGTTGATAAGAGTGGAGAACAGGTTAGTTATAGGGCTAGAAAATTTTGGAAAATTTCAGTTCAGTGTTTGTTAGCTCTCAGTGATTCAGATCCATGATAAAGTCTTCTCAAACCACCTTTCCTGGTTAACAAGTAGTGCTATAGTGCCATTATCCCTTGCACTATCCATGTCTTTAAAAAGAAAATTTATCTATTATCTAAAAAAGTGTGTTTATCAAAGTATTATGATCATCTGGGTGGACGTTTCAACAACCTGAGCAGAAGTCATCTCCATCTTCAACATGTGTACAACATTAACCTCCCATTATTGACTTGCATCTATTGACTTGCTAACTTTTTTCGCATTCATGTTTCTGACATGTTTTTTTGTTTTAATAGATCTCCATAGATTTAAATGAGCCTGTAGTCCTGACATTTGCACTCAGATACATGAGCTTCTTCACCAAGGTATTTGTCATGATCCTTTGATTTGTAAACTCATGGTTAAATAGACTCTAACTTTAGTATTTCAACATTTTAGGCAACACCACTATCAAGTGAAGTTACAATGTCCCTCAAGAAAGAAATTCCTCTTGGTAAGTTCATTTTTGACAATTTTTGGGGTCACCCTTGTTTTCCCATTTTAACTAATATTCTCCATGGAGGATGCATGAATTTGTCAATTTGGGGTCTCTGAGGGTACCCCCTTCAAAATTGAACATGTAGTCAAAACGTGGTCAAGTATTTTAGCGATTCTTAGTTGTTTATAGACCTAATTAGCAAAAATGGAAGGAGTTCTGACATAAGATTATGGAAATGTCTTGCTTATTTTTGATTGTACTTGCAGTCTTGGAATATAGCTTTGAGGATGTGGGCCAAGTCAGGTATGTATCAAGTTAATAATTTCTAAGGCTTTTGTATGATGTGCTAAAGTCATTGAGTGCACACCATATATTATTATTTTGTGAAACAATTACTAGCCATGTGTAATGACAGGCTTATTTTCTCATGGCCCACAAATCTTTCAAGGCTTGAAAGAAAGTGACCAAGTTTTCATAGTCCAACCTCCACTTTACTTTCTGATCAGTCCCTAAAGCCGTATTGACACTAGTGTTGTAACTGTAACTGGATCGAGTGTCAAGCAAGAAATTGTAATCATAAGGAACATAATAATAAATGAAAATTTCAAAGCTGGTGGAAAATAACAAGGAAGCTTGGCTGATGATTCCGATTGATTTACACTACAGCATAGCCTCCTTATTAAGAGTACGATTACAAAGCTTACAATGCTAGTGTGAACAAGGCTTTAGTAGATTTTGTCAGGGAGAACTTTGCGTGAATATAATCAATTTTATTTTGTTTTTGTTTCCTAGGTACTACCTTGCACCAAAGATTGATGAAGAAGAAATGACAGAATCCTAGAAAAACATAAATGCAAGATACATAATCATGTCACCCAGTCACCTGTATGAGTTTCTCAATCTAAATAATGCCAAGTGTTTTTGAAGTTCTCACCCTCATAAAACTCAGGAAGTTTGTAAATACATCAACATGTATATTTGTTTGATTTGCTTCAGTGGTATTAAAGCAGGAATAGTTTTTAATTATTATGTAACAATTTTCTTAGACTGTTTCTGGGACAGTTGATCAGTGTATCACATTTTATCCTCAGGAATGGATGCAAATGGCATTCTATAAAACTAGAATCTAGAAGATCTTTCTCAAATTCCCAAATTGGTATGAACTTGTTAACTTCAGTTTGAACTTGGTTCAATGAACTGACTTTTCTTGATTTGCATGCTTTTAAACCAAACACTTTTCGAAAATTTTATTTCAGACAACATACAGAGTTAAATTCCTTTTGAGAGTATTTATTTTGAAAATTGTCTTTAAATGAAAGATTTCTGGTCATGAGTTGTAGGGGCTAGAGTATCTATCCTTTTCAAGGTACATCATCTGGTGTACTTTACATATATATAATTAGGTAGTTTTTATATTAGTATTTTAAGTTGAATGCTTTTTATAATCTTATTCATGTAAAATTACATAATCATATTTTTTGTTAGTTATTTTTTCTTTATAGAGTGCAAACAATCTGAAATACTAATTACTAAATAGCACAAAATAGTGCTAGTTAAAGAATAAAAAACAATGGAATTTGCATGAAATTGTGCTATTTAGTATTACTAAAGTTTCAGATTTACTGTGGTCACTCTAATAGTGCAAATAATATACCCGTGAAATAGTTAGGATTAATATACTTTATTATTTAATGGAAAAGCATGTACAATAAAATATTTTTCCAGTTTTTGTAAGTGTGTTTAAAAATATTTTAAAATGCGCGCCCTTGAGTAGCACACATGCACTAGTTTACCCATCATGGCACGCCTATTTCTTTATCTAATTAGACTTGGGCAACCAATAGCACAAAGTTAGTAATTAGTTAGCAAGTTATCTATTTCACGGGTATATCATTTGCACTCTATTGTAAAGCGCTTAGAACAATTATTAGTGAATTAGCACTGAATGAAACGATGTGTAACCAGTGTGTTACAAAATGCAGTTTTATTACGATCTCTTCTCATACTCATGAATATTCAATGAGGAGAAAACAAAGTAAATCACTACGTAGTATATAATGTGACGGTGGTTTGGAAATGTGTTCTTAATTTGCATTAAATTTCGTAAACTTTTTCTTTGATTTTCTCCAAGAAATATTCATTAGTTTGAGAAGTAATATCAAACACTCGAGAGAGTTCTACCTCCGATTTCCAAACACCTCAAAGTCAGTTAAAAAACTTGGCTGCAACTCATTTTTTGGTGTTTGGAAATTGGAGGAAGAACTCTCAAGTGTTTGAAATATTACTTGAAACATGTAGAAAGTTTGTTTGCTCACCAGTATATTTTGCCCATGGGAATCAAATGTTAATTCATTTGCTCTCAGTGAATTAATCAGGTGATTACTGAGCTGCAAAGGGCCTATTATGAGTTTGAAGGATTAATCAATTTCACTTTGAAGTCGCAAAGTTTTCACCAAGTTGAACAAACTTTGATATCGGAGAGGCCAAAGTTTCATGAAATCAACTAATATTTATTGCTTACTATCAATCACGTGACTTTTTGGAGTTGACTGGGCGGCAAACAAGCGGTTAACTGGGGGGCAACTAGCGGATGTTAAGTCAAAACATCAAAATAAGTCCCCAAACTATTGTATTTGACTATTTTCACGACATCAAACCAGAAAAGAAGAGATCAAAACAACCTTCAGGATTCTACAAGCCATCAAAAAAGAGCTATTACCGGAAGTGACATCTATTGATAGCAACCTATTAGGTACTGTGCCAAAGCAGAGTGGAATTTTTTATTTATAATACATGTGACAAAATTAATCGATTCAGATTGGACAAGAGTACAATTAAATACCAATTAAGTTGCTCAACTTTGTCAAGCAAACAAAAAAATACAATCTTTTCATACACTTCATAATTTATAGATACTCGTGATATTTTGGAAGTTCTCAAATTCTGGAAACTTTCAAAACACTTTCCTATAGAAACAAAAGTAACGTGCTGCAGAGTGTAGCCCATGAACCATTTATTGTGAATCTATTTTTTACATCATTTATTGGTGAATTTAATTTGGTAACTCGTAGTTTGTGTAACCTGTGTGAAGTTAAACATTTGAAAAGTGTTGAGTAGCACATACTGCAATACGTGTTGTGCTTATCAGTGATTTTTGTGCCTGTGAAAACAAGCTGTACATTTGTGACTAACAAAAGAAAACAATGGAGTTAGTGTCTACTATGTATTACGATGAGTATTCTTTCAGTGTGAACTCGCACACCTCTTGTGTTCTTCTGATCAAACCTCTTCATACTTAAAAGCACTGATAAAACGATAGAAAACAACAAACATTGCACAACTTTCTACTACAGTATTTAGTGCATGATAAATAGAGTAATTTATCTCAATCTCTTAAATAGGTTGTAGACTAGAGCACAAACACTAAAAGTGTGCAACATAAATATGACTAAATAGTGCTATTTTATGTTAATTACTGTTTTCTTTTGTTTAATTAGTGCTATTTACTGCTAAATAGTGATAACTATTGCACACATTTAGTGTTTGTAGACTAATATGGTTAGCAGATCTTATTACCATTGTTTTTTATTGTGTATTTGACCCACCTCTACATGCACATGTACAATAACTACGAAAAACTGTTTCATGATCTTAGGGATATCACTCACTCCATTTCAAAGTACAACACTTGCACTCAAAAACCCAGACAGCAATGATAAATCAAATAAAACAAAAGAATAAAAAATTTGATTATAACTGGTCACATTTTATGAATTCAATTAGAGTGAAGTCATTAATTAAGCCCGTGAAATAGACAGACTAACACACTTTAGTAGACCCTAATTCCATTGTTTTCTTTTGTGTCTATTTGACTATTACACGTTGATAAATAATTTTCATTTCACAGATTAAATACCCTCACTCTATGTTTCCCAGCTAAGGAATGTACTTGCTGGGAATAAATGGTTCATCAAATTCAGTACCTCAATACTTTGATTACTTGCCAAGATTTTTTCAAAGTCTATGTTAATCTTTCCTTATTGCTGTATTGGTCATTACTTGTCCAATTTCTAGGACCTTAGATACATCTCTTATCTCACCTGACATATATTTAAGCTGACTAATATTGTGTACATTCTATATTCTTGATTTCAAGTACAATTTAGACAAACCCACCTTCCAAACCTTTCCCCCTGTTTTGTTTTCAATTGAAGAATAGTTTTTATTTGACTGAATAACAACTGGTTGTATGAAGGGTGGATAGTGCTATCAGACAGATACATTTTAGCAGTGAATAAATTTGTTGGATAACAGTAACAGACTTATCATTTGTCTGATAGTGCTATCCACTCTTCGTACAACTAAGGACAGCATTGGCACTTCTTTGGTCAAACTTCTCTTTGGCTAAGCCAGTCCTCTTGACTGGTCACATGTTGATGTGGCTGGATATCATGTCCAGCCATTGAGCAGCTGTTATTGTTAGCCCTAATCCTAATAGCACATAATAAAACTGTAGTGGTTACACAACGTTTTCAAAAAATAGGCCTCTTAGGCTTACCACCATTTGCATTGCTATAAGGCCACCCCAGACAAAAATCGTGATGTGCACTTTGCAATAGCACGCCATCAATCAAACACGTTGACGTCATTTACACAAGTTTGGATCGGCCCGGATAGGCCCGGTGAGTGTGGCTCATAATACTTGTAAACAATCAACAAGTTTTGCCACATGCGTGTAAATGGCGTCAACGTGTTTGATTGACAGCAGTCTATTGCAAAGTAAATGTCATGATTTTTGTCTGGGGTGGCTGCGTAGCAATGAAAATGGCGGTAATTTGGGCATAATGTTTGCCTATTTTCCCTTGATAGTAAGATTCTTTATTTGAGTTGTATCCATATGCATCTTCTCGTGAGCAACCATTAAAGTAATGATACTCTAGGGAACGATACATTACGTAAAAGCCGAAAAGTTCTATTACTATCCTATTAAAGCTTTTATTATTTTAGTGTTGGATTATTAGCACTAATGAATCAATAGGACATTTGCATGATGGCGTCATTTGACTCCCACTACCAAGATGCTTCGTAAAATTTTCTTTCTTATTCAAATTTGTATTCCCTCATGAGAATAGTA